TAAGCTGAACACACCCACTTGCCTTGTATGCTGAACACACCCATTTGTCGTCTTGTATGCTGAACACACCCACTTGTCTTGTATGCTGAACACACCCATTTGTCGTCTTGTAAGCTGAACACACCCACTTGTCGTCTTGAACGCTGAACACACCCTTGTCGTCTTGTCAGCTAGACACACCCACTTGTCGTCTTGTATGCTGAACACCCCCACTCGTCGTTTTGTATGCTGAAGACGCCCACTTGTCGTCTTGTATGCTGAACACCCCCCTCGTCGTTTTGTAAGCTGACACACCCACGAGTCGTCTTGTAAGCTGAACGCACCCATTTGTCGTCTTTTATGCTGAACACCCACTTGTTTTGTACTGACGCCCACTTGTCGTCTTGTATGCTGAACATTGCCGTCTTGTAAGCTGAACACACCCACAGAGGTCGTCTTGTATGCTGAACACCTTGCCGTCTTGTAAGCTGAACACACCCGCAGTCGTCTTGTAAGCTGAGCAGGTAGTCTTGTATGCTGAACACGCCCACTTGCCGTCTTGTAGCCTGAACACCCCCACTTGCCGTCTTGTAAGCTGAACACCCCCTTGCCGTCTTGTAAGCTGAACACACCCACGAGTCGTCTTGTATGCTGAACACGCCCACTTGCCGTCTTGTAAGCTGAACACACCCATAGTCGTCTTGTAAGCTGAGCGCTTACCAGTCGTCTTGTAAGCTGAAACACACCCACTTGTCGTCTTGTAAGCTGAACACACCCATTTGTCGTCTTGTAAGCTGAACACATCCATTTCTCGTCTTGTATGCTGAACACACCCATTTGTCGTCTTGTATGCTGAACACACCCACTTGTCGTCTTGTAAGCTGAACACACCCATTTGTCGTCTTGTAAGCTGAACACATCCATTTGTCGTCTTGTATGCTGAACACACCCACTTGTCGTCTTGTATACTGAACACACCCACTTGTCGTCTTGTAAGCTGAACACACCCACTTGTCGTCTTGTAAGCTGAACACGCCCTTTTGTCGTCTTGTAAGCTGAACACACCCACTTGTCGTCTTGAACGCTGAACACATCCACTTGAGTGAGGAATTGAAGCTTAAATTCAGCTTTTGGATAATAGATGATACACAGAGAAAAAGAGGAGGAGAGAAAAAGAGAAAACATTAGATGAGAGAAGGACGAACAGATTAACTACAAAATCAAACGAAGAAAAAATAAATCGATGAATACCAAAAGAAGGGTGAGGAAGTAATGATTAATATGTATGGTCTAGAATTAGAAAGATACGCAGAGAGAATAAAGAAAGCACACAGTGAGAGAAAGAGGGGAATAAGGAAGAGAGAAAGAGAATGAAATACAGAATAGAGAGAGAAAGAGGAAAACAAGAAAAATACACAGAGAAAACACAGAGAAATGTAGTTACTGCAATGTAGACAGAGAAAGATAAGAGAGTGATTCTGGATGATTATGATAATAAACAAGATCATTTTACCCTATGAAGCAACAGCCATAAGGGTGGGGGGCATGGGGTAGAGAGGCTTTCGTTATTTCCTAGTCTGCCTAGTCGTTGAAATATGCAATAATTCCAAAAGGAAGTGTGACGTCAATTGTTGCAACGATGATCTACAGGCATAGATATAGAGGTGAAATAAAGGCATGCATGTACTGTAGAGCTGAACATAGAAATTATACATACATGTTTACTTGATCTAGAATTATACATGTAAAGTTGACCTGACTCATGCATGTTCAGTTCATCTCGACGCATGACTCTGGTACTGGCCTAGACACATACGTTTATTGCTAATCTACTGTACATTCATGAGTCCAAAGGTGACGTAGAAACAAGTATGATGTATGTATCTAAATGTTTTAGCATTAGGGTTGATGCACACAGTATATCTATCCACTAATTCAGTTACGTATGGGTACAGTAATGCTGACTTGGACGCATTCGTGTAGTGCTCACCTCGTTGAATGTGTTTAGTACCAGCAGTAGGCAAGCGTATGACACCAGTCTAGGTGCTTGCGTGTTAGTAGTAGCTGTGCGAATGTGTGTAGTAGCAAACTGGATGCGTGTGTGTAACGAACGACAAGCTAGACGCATGAATGCTGTAGTTAGTTATATGCATGTGTGTGCAGCAAACTAGAAGTATGTGTGCAGTAGCGAGCCAAACGTACTACTCACTCTCCCAGGCTCACTGAACCAAGTCATGCTGATAACCCGAGATGATTAATACGTCTAGGTGTGCGACTCTTTCTTGCCCAGATCACCTGCTCCAATAACCAGTAATTATGACAACTTTATATTATTTTATTGTTAATTAAATAACCCATTATAACTTATTGGTGTTAGTTGTTTGGGTAAATATGGTTTAATGTGTGTGTAATAATAAATAATAATAATATTGATAATAATAATAATTAATGGTTTATTGAAAGAGCATGGCAGCCGGAAGGCTGAAAATATACAGTTACATAATTAGGGAATGGGTCTCTTGATTTACAAATAATATACAAGTAACATAAGTGATACAAATATGATATATAATAACTAGGTGGGGAGAAGCTCAAACTACAGGGCAAAAAGGAAGATTGACCGGGAGTGAATACACTGGTTGATTACAAGTTATTGATAATTTTCACAATGGTATGTGTGTGTGTGTGTGTGTGCGTGTGTGTGTGTGTGTGTGTGTGTGTGTGTGTGTGTGTGTGTGTGTGTGTTAAAATAATAATAATAATAATAATATTAATAATAATAATAATAATAATAATAATAATAATAATAATAATAATAATAATAATAATAATAATAATAATAATAATAATAATAATAATAATAATAATAAAAATAAATAACTGTTTATTGAAAAATTTCTTCAGCCCGAAGGCTGAAAATATACATTGGACAAAAATGACTTATTATATACAAAGATATGGGGTCGGTGGGTCGTTTAACAAAAGCTTTCATTACTGAAAGAATAAGGAACAATTATTGAACATGCAAATTACAGTTCATGGCGCGGGCCTGGGCTGGTCATGGAGACACCAGGTGTGTGTGTGTGTGTCTGTGTGTGTGCGTGTGTATAATAATAATAATAATAATAATGATAATAATAATAATAATAATAATAATAATAATAATAATAATAATAATAATAATAATAATAATAATAATAATAATAATAATAGTAATAATAATAATAATAATAATAATAATAATAATAATAATAAACGGTTTATTAATAGAGTTGCAGCCGGTGGCTGAAAATACACAAACTTACATTTGAATTAGACATAATGATATGCGTTCAATACATCTACAGGGCTGTACAGTACATAAATCAGGAGCTGTTTAATATTTTAACAATAGATGGGATGGTGCTATTCTTATATCTATCTACCTACAGTATGTGTGTGTGTGTGTGTGTGTGTGTGTGTGTGTGTGTGTGTGTGTGTGTGTGTGTGTGTGTGCGCGCAGTGAAACTAAAAATAATATACAGTACGGTTTATTGCTGAGGATTCGGTACATAAATTATTGTTTCTCTATGTGTGTTCGAGCAAGAAATAGACAGAGACAAACAGAGAAAGATTGAGGGAGAAAGAGAGAAAAACGAGTCAGTGTATTCATTAACTCACCACCATCTACAGTATTTGCGAGCGAGTGCGAAACCAAGCAAACGTTCGCACTGCTTGTAAACACACACACACACACACACACACACACACGCGCGCGCGCGCGCGCGCGCGAGTGAATGAAAACGTTCACTTCACCCGGTATAAGAGGCATCACAATACTCAATGCATTTTAGACCTCAGACAGCGTTGTGGACTGGTAGTAGCCACCCTCCTTCCCTCTCTCCCTCGCCACGGCTTGCGCTCCCTCCCTCCCTCCCTACCTCCTTCGCCCCTTCACAACTTGCCCCCCCCCTTCCCTTCCCTCCCCTCCCTCCCTTCTACCCACTAACACGAGAGGAAATAACCTGAGTCCTGCCGTGAAGCGGTGACCGTGAATTCGTGGGCCAGTGAGCGCCGCTGTCCAGTTTAGCGCGGGCAACATGGCGGGGATGGTCGACTTCCCGGCACTACCACCACCATGACGACCAATACTGCTGCTACTAATAGTAGTACTACTAGTATTATATTACTATTACTGATAATATTGCTACTACTACAACAACAATAACTAATAATAATAGTAATAATAATAATAATAATAATAATAATAATAATAATAATAATAATAATAATAATAATAATAATAATAATAATAATAATAATAATAATAGTAATAATAATAATAAAAATAATAATAATAATAATAATAATAATAATAATAATAATAATAATAATATCTCTATCACAGCCAGAAAAAGTTAGTAGTGGCACCATCCTTCTCGCCGCTTCTATACTCTACGGTTTATTTCATTTATTGCCATAAACCCAGAGTTCATTCCAGGGCAGTGACGTCACGCATTATTGTCCTCATTTTGTTGATTTTTTTTTTCAAATTTTTTATCATCCAAGTCTTTGGCAGAGGTCCAAAATAAACGACAGAGCCATTCCACGACGTCTTGTACCAAATATCATAGTGGAAATTTTTCTTCATATTAGCGAGGTGCCTGGTACTGGCCAGCTAGTCGACTGAGAAAGATTCAAGTCATCTGTTTGTTTATCCGCCATGACGGTACTTCATCACATGGAAATGACGTTCTTAGCTCAGCTTCCTTAGACGAACGGCAAATATAAATATTCGAGGTCATGGCGACTGCGCCGAGTGGAGTCAGCAGGCAGGAGCGTGGGAGCCGGAACTTTGTGGTGCGTGTTAGTTGGCCAGGCCCAACACGTGCTGGCCTTCTACCCATCGCACACACCTTGTCACCCGTCGTCACCCCGCGCTCCTCTCCTCTGACCTGTGATGAAGGCATAACAGTCTCCCACTTTCTGGGAAACGTATAAATGAGTAACTGGAAGAGACAGAGGAACAAGAATCTCGGTGAGACAGAGCGGATTTGGCGTGCGCACTGGCGGCCAGTCAGCGAGACTCAGGGGGGCGGGGCCAAACCAAGTCCCGGTATATATACCGTAGGAGGGCAGAGAAATCCCGCATTTGTTGATTGTGCGGCATGAACGTGTGCGCTGTGTCATGGCGGCCTAGTGGGAGAGATAACACGTGACAGTGCTTCGCCTTACAACCAAAACATGAAAGTGATTAGTGTAACAGTGGTGGGGGCGCTGCTGCTACTGCTCCTGGGCCTCCTACACCAGGCCTCGGCCAGAGCCACCACAGGAGTCAACCCTCATCATGTTCTTAACAACAAACACCATCATAGTCGGAGCTCGAGCAGTAGTAGCGTCCTACCCGAGGTGCGGGACAAATACAGCCTCCTTGGCGGCGTCCGAGACGTGCTCACCCGCTACCCTCACGATCCTCTTGATGGTGTGGAAGACGAGGAGGACAACGCCGAGGAGCACCTGACGGAGGACAGTCAGGAGGAGGACGATGATGAGGATGAGGATGAAGACGAGGATGATCAGGATTTCGAGCTGTCAGCCGAAGATCTGGACAGGATCAAACAGAAGATCCTAGTCGGCCTCGGCCTCACCACCATCCCTAAGAGGTCTAAGGTAGGACTACTTTTACTTTCTTTTATTATTTATGAACCGTGTGTGTCATGAGATGCCGGTATGGTGTGGTGTCATGAGATGCCGGTATGGTGTGGTGTCATGAGATGCCGGTATGGTGTGGTGTCATGAGATGCCGGTATGGTGTGGTGTCATGAGATGCCGGTATGGTGTGGTGTCATGAGATGCCGGTATGGTGTGGTGTCATGAGATGCCGGTATGGTGTGGTGTCATGAGAGGCCGATGTGGTGTGGTGTCATGAGATGCCGGTATGGTGTGGTGTCATGAGAAACCGATGTGGTGTGGTGTCATGTCGAGAGGCCGGTATGTGGTGTCATGAGAGGCCGATGTGGTGTCATGAGAGGCCGATGTGGTGCAATGTCAACAAGAGAGGCCGGTGTGGTGTAGTATAATGAGAGGCCTATATGGTGTGGTGGCATGAGAGGCCGATGTGGTGTCATGTTGAGAGGCCGGTGTCGTGTCATGTCGAAATGCCGGTGTGGTGTCAAGAGATGCTGGCGTGATGTCAGAGAAGCCGGTGTGGTGTCAAGAGAGGCTGGTGTAGTATCATGAGAGGTCGGTGTAGTTTGTCATGACGAGAGGACGGTGTAGTGTCAAGAAAGAGGTCGGTGTAGTGTCAAGCAAGGTCGGGGTAGTGTCATGACGAAAGGTCGGTGTAATGTCATGACGAAAGGTCGGTGTGGTGTCAAGAGATGTCGGTATAGTGTCAAGGTAATCAACACACCATACAACTACACCAATACGAGTTCTCAGACAAGTGGCCATCAAGGGGGGATGCTGGGGGGGGGGAGGGGAAGGAAGAGAGTGAGGGAGGTGTGAGTGATAAGGACAAGGCCGGACACGGGTGCAAGTGGCAGGAGAACCATAACTTGCCAGATTGATAGCCGGCCAGAACCGCCTCAACTCTGCGGGAGGGTCGGCAGTATTTCAATGCCAGCCTCAACCCCGAAACGACTTCCATCCAGAAAGTAGAGTTTTGTCAAGACTGTGAATCACGTCGATTGAATTCTGTTGTTCCCTTTTTATTTTGTGTATGCTTTTCTTTAGATAAATCTTAATAACTCGTAAGCTTGAATGATTAACCCATATGTATGTGTGTATGTGTTTTACCTGAGTGATGATTCACACACACACACACACACACACATACACACACACACGCACACACGCACGCGCGCACACGATTGAGTAAAAGGTTGATGAATTCGTGACGGCTGGAACTTGTGCGTTGTCAGGTGTGGTAGTGTTTCATAAGAGTGTGGCAGGTTAGCAGAGTGTAGGAGCAACCCCATCTGTAGACACACACACAGTATGTTACAGATGGTTCTCAAAGACAAGTGCTGTGAAGTAGTTCTAACAAGTATTACAAATAAGTTCTCATTAAACAGGTGTTATGAGGTAGCAGTCATACACACATTTGTCGTGAGTAACTCCCATCTAGCACAGGTGTTGAGGTAATTCCTTACGCATGTTTCATACCCTACACATGGTTTAATGCCATACACATGGTTTAATGTCCGACACATGGTTTAATGCCCGACACATGGTTTAATGCCCTACACATGGTTTAATACCCTACACATGTTTGGGAAAATAACACTGAATGCTACGCTCCGCACTATGAAGCGGCATCATTGTATACAAACTTGACACTGATGTTACACGTCGTATATTTACATGTTGTCGGATACTGTGGTGATATTTTCAGAGTGATGAAGTGATCATATATTTTCTCACTGTGCATTGTGTATTTAAGGTGCGGCATGTTGTTGTTGTTGGTGTTGTTGTTGTGTTGTTGAGGTGGTGGTGGCGGCGAACGTTGTTATCTGAGTGGCAATGTTTGTGTGTTTTGTGAAATTAAAAAGAGACCATAAAAATGAATGTAGGTTAGTGTGATATACAGTGGTGGAGTATGGTAGGGTGGTGACGCAGTGTGGTAGTGGTGGTGATGGCGGCAGCGCGATGTGGTGGTGGTGGTGGCGGCGCGGTGTGGTGGTAGCGCGGTGTGGTGGTGGCACGGTGTGGTGGTGGCGGCGCGGTGTGGTGGTGGTGGCACGGTGTGGTGGTGGTGGCGCGGTGTGGTTGTGGCACGGTGTGGTGGTGGCGCGGTGTCAGCGTGCAACTCTCCACCACTCAGCCACCAGTCAGTATTTGTGTTTTAACGACACCCCACGACCAGCCCTCTGCCCTTCCCTCTCCCAAGAACCAGTCCTCTGCCTTCCCCACTCCCCAATACCAACCCTCTAACCCCCCCCACCCCACTCCTCAGTACCACCCCTCCTTAATCCCTGGTACCAGCCCTCTGCCCTCTCCACTCCCCAGTGCCAGCCCTCTGCCCTCCCCACTCCCCAGTACCAGCCCTCTGCCCTCTCCACTCCCCAGTACCAGCCCTCTGCCCTCTCCACTCCCCAGTACCAGCCCTCTGCCCTTCCCTCCCCAGTACCAGCCCTCTGCCCTCTCCACTCCCCGGTACCAGCCCTCTGCCCTCTCCACTCCCCCAGTACCAGCCCTCTGCCTCTCCACTCCCCAGTACCAGCCCTCTGCCACTCCCCAGTACCAGCCTGCCTCTCCACTCCCCAGTTCCAGCCCTCTGCCCTCTCCACTCCCAGTACCAGCCCTCTGCCCCCCACTCCCCAGTACCAGCCCTCTGCCCTCTCCACTCCCCCAGTACCAGCCCTCTGCCCTCCACTCCCAGTACCAGCCTCTGCCCTCTCCACTCCCCAGTACCAGCCCTCTGCCCTCTCCACTCCCCAGTACCAGCCCTCTGCCCTCCACTCCCCAGTACCAGCCCTCTGCCCTCTCCACTCCCCAGTACCAGCCCTCTGCCTCTCCACTCCCCAGTACCAGCCCTCTGCCCTCTCCACTCCCCCAGTACCAGCCCTCTGCCTCTCCACTCCCCTACCAGCCCTCTCCACTCCCCAGTACCAGCCCTCTGCCCTCTCCACTCCCCAGTACCAGCCCTCTGCCCTCTCCACTCCCCAGTACCAGCCCTCTGCCCTCTCCACTCCCCAGTACCAGCCCTCTGCCCTCTCCACTCCCCAGTGCCAGCCCTCTGCCCTCCCCACTCCTCGACGTATCAGACCAAATATATTAAACAAATCAAATACACCTCACTCATAATTATACTGTAACAAAATGCTCTAGTTAATGACATTCATATTAATACCCAAAGTGTTTTTGAGGCCACCGCAGCAGTGATTAGTACAGAGGTGATGGCATAATCAACCCCGGGGGACTTTTAAAACCTGCCTCGGTAAATGTATGGAATTACCTGGACTCTTAAGACACGACAATGAGACACAGCAGGTGGATGTATATCTCAGATCGAACTGCTTATACGAATTTTATAAGTATAATTGTCTCTGGTAATACTTGAGTAAGTTAAAATATACCTCTATAAGTATTAAAATTCTTTCGTTTAGTAGCATTAAGTCATCTTATTTACTTACAAACAAAATTTTCTCTCATTTTAAAGTTTTTTTTCATTGTTTATATTTTGGATATCTTGTGTTCAGTTTACTTAAGATATTATTATTTCAAGTTCTCTTAGATTCGTTTTTGAAAAACATTTCGTTATTATTTACTTATCATGATATATTTCTTAATTCAGAGTTCAATATTTTCTATACCAGTAGTTTATGATGATATTATGTTTTGTAGCTGTTTTACACCTGTTGGGACTTGTTTACTGGTACACCTGTTGAGACTTGGTTTATGTGTACGCCTCTTGAGATGTGGTTCATTTCAACACCTGTTGAGATCGGGTTTACATGTACGTACACCTGTTGAGATTTGGTTTATTTATACATCTGTTGAGAAGTGATTTATTTGTACACCTGTTTAGACATGGTTTATTTTCACACCTGTTGATATGTAGTTATGAAAACAAACGTAGTTAAATAAAGGATAATATTAGTCTGAATATCTTTCACAAGATACTCTAGGTACTGATCGAACAGGTGATGCGGATAATTACTCAAAGCTGCGTTAGTAAGCGGGAACCTTGTCTTTACTCATGAGTAGACTCACACACACACACACACACACACACACACACACACACACACGAAAATAACTCTAGTGTCGTGATCCATGGACCTGTTTCTATACGGATTGCTGCACTTGTAAGGTTTATTATGCTGGTGTTTCATGAAGCAGCATGTTAAGAGCGCCAGTGCGGGCAGGAAGCGGTGTGGTGTCGGGTGGACGACGGAACGCCAGACTACCTTGGTAATTTTTTATCAATAATAATAATAATAATAATAATAATAATAATAATAATAATAATAATAATAATAATAATAATAATAATAATAATAATAAGAAGAAGAAGAAGAAGAAGAAGAAGAAGAAGAAGAAGAAGAATTAAAAATAATAATAATAATAATAATTATATTAATAATATTAATAATACGGAAATGATTGCAGAAATATATGCAAATATAAAGTAACATAAAGCAACAAATCAAAATTGAAAGAAATAATTGCAAAGTTGTTTACACACACGAGATAACATTAATATTTAATAAAAGATGCTTCAACTACCTGCTTGTTATAGCCACTTGGTATATGAAAACAACAACAATCATATTATAACAGTCGTCTAGTTTAGCTGGTGATATAAAGATTGGGTGATCGAAAAGTCCCTGTGCACCTTTAATTAACTGTATAGTTGCTCCTTTTATACTCATGTTGTTATATTTTTTCTATGTACTGTAAATTCTGTAAATGGTATCCACTTCCAACATTAACTCTGACCAACTCAAAAATTTGCTGTAAGTATAACAAGGTATATAACAATGTAGGTGTAACAAGGAACTATAGGTTAATTACTGAAGGTGCACAGCGACTTTTTGGTCACAATATATGTGTCACCTAGAGTCGAAGTGTGACAACTAAGACTCAATCAATGATGTTTACTTTACTTTTACTGTTATCCTCTTCACCACTGATCGGCTCGTTAGCCGCTTGGGCGATCGGTC